ATCAAATGTTTATTCCCTTGTCTCACGTGGTAATGACGTATTTGGGGACTAGGAACTTGATTCCCCTGAATTTTTTTCCTCTCGGGGAAACCCAAAAAATTGTGGAATTCTGAGTAACTTAAATGATTACTTGCCAAATACAAAACTTTCTCAAAAAGAGGATATTAAAACCCTAATGTTAATTTTTCCAAAAGTCACTTCTGAGGGTGTAACTCCTATACGACAGCCTGCTTACCGCATCGGTCCGGTAAAACGAGCAAACATGAGAAGAGAGGTAGACTTTTTATTGGATAATCGTTTGGCAGAACCGAGTAATTCCCCTTGGGCTTCACCCTGTTTGTTGATTTCGAAACCTGATGGTACAGAAAGGTCAAGTAAGTTACCGACTCCTTCCCTCTTCCGTTGATTGATGGTCTGGTAGATGCCTAAGGTCAAGCTCGGTTTATAACCACTATTGATCTTCAAAAAGGTTATCAAATAGGGTTGATTGAGACAGCCAAAACCATCTCTGCTTCCATTTCCCCCATTGGGTTATGCCAATATAAAGTTATGCCTTTCGGAATGGCTAATGCTCCTGCTACTTTTCAGCGGTCCATTAATTTCGCTATTCAAGACCTTTCTGGCACCTATGCATACTTAGATGATCTTGTAATAATTTCAGAACGTTCGCAGGAACATCTTATTCGGCTTCAGATCTTTTTCGGTCTATTGCAGGAGGTGGGCTTCACCATCAACCTGGCCAAGTCCACTTTTGGGAGTGCTACCGTGGTGTATTTAGGACCTGTTGTTGGAGGGGGTCAGACGAGACCAAAGGACGCCATTGTGGAAGCCATCCTGTCCTTCCCTAAACCCACTAAGAGGAAAGCCCTCCTGTGCTTTTTTTAGGGATGGCTGGCTTCTACAGACGATTCTGCAGTAATTTATCCTCCATTACTGCACCCCCTCCCCTTACTGACTTGGCCAGCCATAAATCTTCATTTAAGTGGAATCCTGACTGTGATGCAGCTTTCAGCCGTCTCAAACTACTTCTGTCGTCTCACCCTGTCCTCAGAACTCCAGACCACTCCCGACCCGTCATTCTCTAAGTAGAGGCGAGTGGAGTTGGTGTTGGAGAAGTCCTTCTTCAGGAGGACCCTACTAGTGGAGTGCTATATCCGGTGTTTTACTACTCTGCCAAATTGAAGAAACGCCAAAAACAATACTCCACCATTGAGAGAGGCCCTCGCCTTAGTCATGGCTCTCCATAAATTTGACGGCTATCTCCACTCTCATCCCATCTAGATCGACCATAACCCTCTCGCCTTCATCACCAGCATGCAGAACTCCAACCAACGCATACTGAGATGGGCGCTACCACTTGGACATTCGCCATATAATAGGGGTGGACAACATCTTGGCTGACGTCCTCTCCAGGGATCCACCTGGGCATCCAGACACAGAGGGGTCCTAGTCCTCCTTTATCGAGACTACGGAGGTCTTGGAGGGTGGGTGGGGAGTGTTACGACCCAAGGAGTCGTTACCCACTCTGTATGAGTCTCGAAGCTGAGACCACGAACAACCCTGGTTCACCTCTGTTCGAATCATCCCTGTCGCCACTCCCAAAGGTTGGTGGGAAGCCGGCAGGGTAGTGTGAGCCAGTTGGCCACACGGTTACTCCCCGCCTAGGTGGGCTGCTCCCCTGGGACTTGGCTGTGGTGCACCCTGTGTGTGTCCTCAGTGTTGGGACTCCATTCCCCTAGATCAACAGAAGGCTGACCATTGACAGGGAGAATAGATCTTCTCAACCTCCTCTACCGTGTGTACTGTATTGTTTCTCCCTATAAACACGTTTCAGCCGGTTCTTCCCTCAAACACATATGTGGATATGTAACAAGGTGGTATTGGTAGTGATCTTGGTATAGGTATTTGTATACATAGTTTTAAGTGATGTGTACTACTTTCATAGTTTATTGTAACGTAAAGTGTGATATTTTTTTTCTTTTTGTATTACCTTGTAAGTTTTAATCTTCATCAATAACTTGTTTCAATTTGGTTCCCTTTTTATAGACCTTCTTGGTGACCGCCCCGAAATAGGATATTTCTTAAGACCTGATGGTCATAACATGCAGTGGCACTTGCAATACCTAACAATACCGAGACCGAATCTGAATAAATAAAGATTCCATTTATTTTGTTACTAGTCCCAAGTTCTCCCTTACACTGTTGGGCACATTGTTTCATCCGTCAATACTTGAGATCGTAACAGTTGGCAGAGCCAGTAGAGGCCCAGCAGCTGCAAGCAAGTGAGGATCGTGCCGCCGTGCTACAGCAGCAGTAAGCCACTGAGGAAGCTGCTAGAGCAGACCATGCCGCTATGCAGGCTTTAATAGTGCAGGTTTTACAGTTGCGTGATGTATTAACCCATGTCTAACAGACCGTAATACTTGTATAAATGTGGGTTATATAATTACATAATTACATCACCCATGGTAACTTTCCTGAGCCGTGAGTAGTCATCCATTGGACACGTGACAGTATATTTCTACTGAGTTCTCGTTCCTTGACTGCAGAGTCATGAATTAAGTAGCCAGCTCTCTCTCGCCAGTCTGTCCTGGTCTCTCACGCACACTAGACGTGTGTTTATGAAGCTCGTTACATATACACTTCGTCCGTTCTTCACGCTCACAGCTCATAGCGTTAATTACGGTGATATCCCAGTTATTGTGTAATAGTTTTTCTTAATTAATGGAAAAAAGTCAATTTAGGTTTATAAACTTAACCCATAAACATTTATGTCGTTGTTTTCAGTTCACCTCTATTCAATTATTCCAACAGGTAACCAGAAACCGCAACAGTGAGACCTCTACGATCGCCAGCACTGTGCTGAATGTGGCGTTCGGCACCCAAGATGTTTCTGTGCGTCCCCAGGCAAGGCAGCCCCATGCTCCAGTACTTCACAAGCTCTCCCCAGATGTTACCCTGCGGGAATTTAAAGTATGGCGTAGCGTTTGGTGTGATTATGAAGAGTTGCTTCAGTTGAGGAACCAGCTGCATCGGATACAGGCTCACCTCAGGTCGTGCCTTACACCCGAGATGAGGTCTACCTTAGCCCACGCTATCGGGGGTCTACGAGGAGGACCACACCCGATCAGTGGAGCAAATCCTCGAACTGATCAAGGAGCATCTACAGTACAGCGGCAGCGAAACATTGCTCTACGACGAGTGCGGTTTGAGGAACGACAACAACACGGCGGTGAGTTGTTTGATGTTCTTAAATGTTGCCCTTATGGAACTGGCGGGGGATGCAGAGTTGTAGGAGACGTGTCTGGATGCTCGACGATGTCCTGCTTTCCTGGTATGATGCGCAAGCATAATATCTGCAGACCACCCGAAGCAGATCAAGGTGCTTCGTGATCGGCAGTCGGTCACCATCAAGTCTGCTCCCACAATCGAGCAGTTGAAACATGATCGCCAGCAAGTCTTGAAGGAGTTTAAGGATGTGCTCATTGATCCCGAAGATTTTCACAGTGGTGCAAAGCTACCGACCATGCTTGGGGATCCTTTGAAAATTCATCTTAAAGAGGACATCCTACCCTTTGCAATCCATACTCCTCGAACCAATCCTGTACCGTGGAGATCAGACCCCAAGCAGATGCTCGATAGCATGAGGCGTCTAAGTGGTGTCATCCCATGGTGATCGCTCCCAAGCGGAAGGGTGGTGTCCGCATTACAGTAGACTTGACAAAACTCAACATGTTCTACGTCCCGCCCAGCCATTTCTGACACCACGCAACTCTGACATGCAGGTAACCCCTGGTTCTAGGTACTTCACGACTATGGATGCTATGTTTTGGCTATTGGCAGGTCCTGCTCGCTGAGGACGCGCAGCCACTGACAGCCTTCATTATACCATGGAGATACAAGTTCCTGCGAGGTCCCATGGGATTTGTCTCTACAGGTGACGAGTTCTGCAGACGAGGTGACATCGCCCTCGAAGGCATCGGCAACCTTACCAAGGTAGCTGCTGATGTGCTCGTTTGGGACTTGACCTATGCTGAACACCTATAACGTATCCGTGCAATTCTGGAGCGATGCCACAGACACAAGGTCACCATGAACCGTAATAAGTTTGTGTTCGAACATCAGTCTGGAGTTCTGTGGTTACGGCATCACGGCTGGCGGAGTAGCTGCTGACGCTGGTAAGGTCAAACAAATAGTAGACTTCCCAGTCCCTGTCAGCATTACTGATCTCCGTTCCTTTCTTGTGAACCAGCTGGCTGACTTCACTCAGAGTAGCGCATCAGCACCAAGAATGCCTTCGTATGGACCCCAGACCACCAAAATTCTTCAGAGACAGTGAGGTGGTCTCTCTCATCACCACCGCTGCTCGCACACTTCGACCTCGCACTTTTCACAATGTTGCAGACCGACGCCTCGCGTCTCAAGGGCCTTGGTTACGCCCTCCTGCAGCTTCATTGTGAGAATTGGAGGCTTGTTCTGTGTGGTTCTCGTTTCCTCAGTGACGTGGAGACCAGGTACACCATGGTAGAGCTGGATCTTGTTGCAGCAGTCTGGGCCAGGCGGAAGTGTCGTCTGTACTTGATTGGACTACTACATTTTGACCTAGTCATCGACTACAAACCTCTGGTGTCCTTCCTGAACGACTACACGCTGGATGCTGTGGAAAACCCATGACTGTAGCGTCTGAAAGAGAAAACAGCACAGTATTCCTTCACTGCAAGGTGGCGTAAGGGCAAGGAGCATGCCATCCCTGATGCGCTCTCCCGTGCACCCGTTGAAGACCCGACACCGTCTGACTTGGAGGGTGAAACGGGAGTGACCCACCACATCTGTAGCTGTGTAAAGACTAGGGCAATGTAAGAGTCGTCGCAACCTTCTGAATGTTTGCGTGACCCCATCATTGAAGGAAACGGCAACGTTGCTGCCCACTGACTTATTGCCTCCTTCATGACACCGTTGCCTCGGGATTCGCATCCGACAGGAAGAAGGTACCAGCAGTCATGAGGGATTTCTGGAAGATCAGGGACAGTTTAGGAGGTGCTCAAATCGTAATTCCGACCGCAATCCATCGTCAGATCTTGTCTCGTCTTCATGACTCCCGCGGGGAGATTGAAGCGACAAATTGTAGAGTACGTCAGAGAGTATGGTGGCCTGGCATCACAAGCGACATCCTAAACACTGTCCAGTCCTGTGGCGCATGCCAAACTCTGCTGCCATCTCAAGTTAAGGAGCCATAACTGTGGTCGCACCGATGGTGGACCACAGTTCTCCCCTCATAACTTCTGGTGCTTCCTCAAGCGGTGGGGAGTCAACCACGACATCTCATCGTCACGATAGCCACAGTCTAATGGACATGCTGAAGCTTATGCCAAGCAAGTGAAGCATTTGATCATGAAGACTACGAAGGGTGGTAACCTAGATGATAAAGATTTTGACCGTGGCTTGTTGGAGGTACGTAATACCCCCCGTCCGGATGGCAGATCCCCAGCCCAGATACCCCTTGGCCGATCATTACGGACAGCAATGCCGGCCCACTGGTGATCCTTCGCTGCCGAGTGGTAAACTGTGACAAAGGAGTATGACAATCGGCAGTTAACGCCAAGGCAGAAGAACACTACAACCGCTCTGCTCTTTCTCTACCTCCTGTGAAGGTAGGCATGGCTGTCCACATCCAGGACATCTCACTACGCTGGGATAAGGTCGGGAAAGTGGTAGGTGTTGGTCGCCACAGGGACTATCACGTCAGGCTTCCGAGCGGTCGCTTGTTATTGTCGTAACCTCCGATTCCCGCGTCCTCACCATGTGCCATCCCTTACAACAGGGGTATCAAACTCATTTGCTACGGCGGGCCAGATTTAATGAGTACACACTATGCGGGCCATGTAGCGGAATTATGAGCACTTCGCTATCGCCCCTTTGGGGAGTAGTGAGCATCAGTAAATTGAGAACGAAGCCGAGATTTGTTAATGTTCATTACAGAGAAGAGCTTTTCACAAACCTATGTACTTCCGAACATTGACATAATCTTTGAGACAAAACACTTAATCCTGGGATAATTTGGCCCACATATTGATAAAATGTGTCAACATCTACACTCGAGAACTTGTTCCTCAAAACAGAATCACACTGGAGCTCAATTAATTCTAACTGAAGATGTTCTGGTGCCTCATTAACGCTGACAGAGAATGAGTTCTGAAAAATGGAAAAAAATACTTTCTCAAGGTATTTAAAGTCAGCAAATCTTTCTTGGAAATCGTGAAGCTCAGGTGTGTCTTGCTGGGACTTCAAGGTCGGAAAGTGTGAAAGAGTATTCTCTGCAAGTTGCCACTACCAAACTCGCGAAGATGTCATCACTTGTTGTTGTTCCTTTCACTGGTACCAGTTCCACAAACTCTTCCGTTAAGAGCATATTTTCATCCACACTCGGTATAAAAACTCTAAGTTGCGCTACATCAGTTATATCGGTATTGTCATCACTTGCAACACAAAATGCGTTAAAGGACTTAACTTTGTCTTTGAGTTGACTCTTAATATTCTCTGATAATTCATTAATTCTCTCTGCAGAAATGCCTTTGATTCCACCCCATCTAACAGTTGGACAGAAGAAGAGCCACCCCAGATATGAGAGCAGTACTCCAAGTTGGTTGGTTGGTGATATGGAGAGAAGAGAGATCAGCTCTGAGGGTGCAAGAAGGGTACAGTACAAGGTAAAGTTTAGAAGTGGGAAATATAGGAGGAGGTTGACAGCAGGTGGGCTATCCACCTTACGGAGAGCACTCCAAGTTAGGACGAATGACTCCTTTTTATACTTGAAGCAACTGCTTAGGAGTGAATTAGCTACGGCATCTGTACAGCTCTTTGTATTGTTATATTGTCCAACACCTGGCAATCTATCGCCCCACCCAAACTACCGTCAGGGTAGTGAACCATATCAACATGGGTAGATCTGGCGGCTCACCCGGCAGTCTTACCAGTCTGTCCATACAGAGCGCACGTCTGTCCCGTGCTCTTGCCTCTGTACTGATCCTCCTTCAGTAAACTCCAGTGAACTAATTGTCTTATTACTCGTCAACTCCTATGATCCACCAGGTCATGGTTGGCTTATTTTACTAGTTCCAAATATGACTTATATCTCCATTATTATCAACTTATACAAGAAATACCACAGATGGAAATTGATTTATAACTAAATTCCATATAAAAAGTTATTTTCATCCTCAAGTCCAGGTCAAGTGCTAAACATAATAGTAACCAACGCGTCAGAAATAGAAGTAAGACGAGGTGGCCGAGTGGTTAAGGCGTTGGACTGCTAATCCAATAGGGTCTCCCTGCGTGGGTTCGAATCCCATCCTCGTCGGAAACAAGGTGTAGTTTTGGATCTTCTGAAGATTAGACACTACAGCTTATTTCACCTGAAGATTAGACACCCCAGCTTATTTCACCTGAAGATTAGACACCCCAGCTTATTTCACCTGAAGATTAGACACTACATCTAATCAACCTAACATTGTCAAGGCTAATCTTTTGCTAGGATAAACTGGGGTGTTTAATCTTCAGGTGACCTCCCTGACCTTACTGAAGTAGGCATGTCTTCTAGCTGTGAGGGATCCGGCTTTCATGTCCAGTATCCGGCTTTCCTGTCCAATATCCGGCTTCCCTGTCCAATATCCGGCTTCTCTGTCCAATATCCGGCTTCTCTGTCCAGTATCCAGCTTCTCTCCCCCATATCCGTCTTCACTGGCCAATATCCGGCTCCTCTTTCCAGTATCCGGCTTCCCTGTCCAAAATCCGGCTTTCCTGTCCCAAATCCGGCTCCCTGTCCAAAATCCGTCTTTCCTGTCCAATATCCAGCTTTCCTGTCCAATATCAGGGTTCCTTGTTTAAAATCCGGCTTTGCTGTCCAATATCCGGCTTCTCTGGTGGTGGTTTTTGGTAAGTATCGGTCACCCAACAAAAGGTATTTTCTCTTTACTGTTGAATCTCTGTTAAGTTGTTACAGGTCACGTGAAAATTACCCCCCAGCTTATCTGGCCTGAAGATGAACAATAATATTTAGTTTAGGTTAAGGATTTGAGATTTGGGAGGTCAGGTTAGGTTAGATTAAGTAGATTAGGTTAAGCATTGGAAATATGTCATATGCTTTCAGAGCCTAAGATGAGGTGGCTGAGTGGTTAAGGCTTTTGACTGCTAATCCAATAGGGTCTCCCTGCGTGGGTTCGAATCCCATCCTCGTCGTCGGAATAATTTCAATATTAAATCCACAAAGCAAACAACATGTACCATAATGTTGTGCCATCGATGTGGGTGGTTGTAGGTTGGTGAACATAAGAATGGAGGAAACTGCAGCTGGCCTATTGGCCCATACAAGGCAGTCCCATTTACACCCAACCCCTATTGCTCATATATCCATCCAACCTATGTTTGAAGCTATCCGGCGTATTCGAGTTAATGATGGTGTTTGGTAACTTGTTCCATTCATCCACTACTCTATTTCCAAACCAATGTTTACCTATTTCGCGCGCATCAAAATTTGTCTAATATAAAACCATTGTTACGTGTTCGCTCTTGGTTGGATAGTTTGAGTACCCTTGTAATGTCCCCTTTGTTTAGCCCTGACTTCCATGTATACACCTCTATCATATCGCCCCTCGCTCTACGTCTCTCGAGGGAGTGCAAATTAAGATGCTTTAACCTGTCTCTGTACTCAAGGTTCCTAATGCCCGGGATTAGTCTTATCATTCTCCTCTGAATTCTTTCCAAGGATTCAATATCCATTCTGTGATACTGTGCCCAGAATTGAACTGCGTAATCCAAGTAAGGTCTCACAAGCTCAAGATATAGTTTTAGGATGACCTCGCTAGTCTTGTAACTAACACTCCTTTGTATGAACCCAAGTACTTTATTAGCCTTGTTTCGAGCAAAAACACATTGTTTACTTGGCTTAAGATTCCTACTTATCATTTCTCCTAAATCTTTCTCACAGTCGGATTTCTCAATAACATCGTTGTTCATCTGGTATCTGGTTTCCTTGTTTATATCTCCTATATTGAGTACTTTAAATTTGTCCACATTGAATTTCATCTGCCATTTTTCAGACCATTCGAAATTTTTTTTAGATCTTCCTGTAGTTTTGCGGAGTCCTCGTCAGATTTAATTTTACACCCTATTTTAGTGTCATCAGCAAATTTACTTATGTTGCTGTCTACGCCGATATCTATGTCGTTTATGTATATAATAAATAATAATGGTCCAAGTACTGAACCTTGGGAAACTCCACTAGTGACGTTGCTCCAATCGGATTTAGTGCCATTAATGCTCACTCGCTGTTTCCTGTCCTGTAACCACGCCCTAATCCATTTTAGAATATCTCCTTTAATGCCATGTGCCTCCACTTTTCTTATAAGCCTTTCGTGGGGGACTCTGTCGATGGCTTTGCTTAAGTCGAGATATACCACATCATGATTGTGCCCCTCGTCCACTGATTCGAAAAAAGAAGAAAAGAATGTTAATAGATTAGTTAGACATGAACGCCCGCTTGTGAAGCCATGCTGGGAATCATTGATCAACTTGTGCTTCTCCAGGTGATTTCGAATAGAGTTTGAAATGATTGCTTTCAGTAATTTGCCTACAACTGATGTTAAACTGATTGGACGGTAGTTAGAGGATAGTGATCTATCTCCCTTCTTGAAAATTGGTATTACATTCGCTATCCTCCAGGATTCTGGTACTATACCTGTTTTTAAGGACATGTTAAACAACTTTACTAAGGGCATACTAAGCTCTTCCTTACATTCCTTTAATACTCTGGCAAATATCTCATCGGGACCAGGTGACTTATTAGGCTTTAGTTTGTCTATTTGCTTACTAACATCGTTACTAGTCATTACTATCTCACTTAATCTATTTTCTTCACTATCTCTGTATAGAGTCGGTGCCTCGGGTATCATGTATAAATTTTCGGTGGTGAAAACTGTTGAAAAATATTTATTTAGATTATTGCTCATTTCTCCATCGTTATCAGTTAGCTCGCCGGTATCTGACTGTATTGGTCCAATCTTTTCTCGTGTTTTCGTTTGATACATTTGATAGAATCCATTGGGGTTTAACTTCGCTTCCCTTGCTACCTTCAATTTATTATTCCTCTTTGCTTTTCTTATCTCGGTATTAACCCTACCGGCCAATACCTTATAATAATCTCGGAGGTAAACTTCACGATTTATTCTCCTACCTATAGCCTTCCTTTGTCCAATAACATTCTTTAAATAATTGTTTATGCATTTAGGGTCATTGTTGTTTGATCTGAGTTTTCTGTATGGTATGTTCTGCCTTTGTGCATTAAGTAACTCATTTAAATTGTTGTGGAACTCGTCAACCTCAGATATCATTATCAGGTCATCCTCAACCGTCAGGTCTCCAGGTAAGGTGAGGTCGCCCTCTGTGGGTACATTGTGTGAGGTCATGTAATTCACCCTAAGCATGATACTCTTTCTCTCAGCTGCCTCTTCAAACTGTCAAAGTTTGCCCTTCTGAAATCTGG